ACAAAGTGTGTTTTTCTAAGGGGAAAAGCAGCTCAGATAGCTGTGACTGCTAAAAGATATTGTAGAGAATACCTCCTGCTGGCTGCAAACAGCTGCAAAGAGATCTAATCCACACTCTACTGAGCTCTACCCAGAACACAGGAAAACTCACTGCATGGGTGCTAATAGCCAGCATTCTGTCTGCCTGCCTTTTCTGCTGTCGCAACCAGAGATGTAAGGACTTGGTTTGCAGAGTTTGTGGTTAGGGGGAAAGCCACAAAGGTCAGTTGTAGTGGGTGCCATTCTGGCTACAGGTCAGATGTGGCTACAAAGCTTGCAAAAGCAGAAGAGGCCTGAGGGTGGGAACAGCTTACATTTTTACTAATTCCTAAAAGCTACCCAAATTGCTAAAGCAGGTCACATCTTTCACTCTCGCACAAATACTTATCAAGGAGAACAAGTCAGTCTCAAAGCAGAGGAATGGTACACAGTTTAGTGAACATCACGACTTCAGCCGAAGAAACCATACTAGTAAGACTAAATAAATGTATCTTCTCTGAGACCATTGCAAATTTTAGCCTACAGTGTCACCACACTCTCCATTCAAATCTGTGGTCTTCCCAATTATATATATGCAGCATTCCTCTTGCTAAAATCTTCCTCCCCTTGCTCAGTTTTGTTCCTCAACTGAAAATCCCTTCAGTTCAGGGATGTGTTTTTTGTGGGGGCACAAATCTAGTTTCACAGCAGGTGCAGTAAGAAAGCTCTCAAGTTACCAAAAGAATTAAGTTGCAGTTCAGGGATGTGTTTTTTGTGGGGGCACAAATCTAGTTTCACAGCAGGTGCAGTAAGAAAGCTCTCAAGTTACCAAAAGAATTAAGTTGCTGATGGATAAATAGATGATAGATAGATGATAGATAGATAAGTCTAAAAGGTAGAAAAGTATAATCAGAGGGTAATAATCAGAGGGTAATATCTTAGGAACAGTTTGGTTTTCATAATAGCACAATGCATTAGATGATGATGATGATGATGATATTTATACCTCACCCACTCTGAGCAGCATTGTCTCAGATATATGGGTTATTTGTTTTCTGTTAAATAATTTTAGCCAGCATATTGCCAGGCCCAGTTCAAGGTGCTCACATTAGTGTTTAAAGCGCTTATGCCTCAAATATCTGAGACAGCATCCTTCCCTACAGACCTTCCCAGGTGCTAAGATCAGCAGAGAAGCCCCTCTTGGCAGTTCCACCACCTTCAGAAGTTTAGTGGGCGGTGGCTTCTCTGTGGTAGTCCCTAAGTTGTGGAATTCCCTTCTCACAGAGCTGAATCCGGTGCTTCCATTATGTGATTTTTATCATAAGCCAAAGATGCACCTCTTTGCCTTTGACACCTGAGATATGTATTTTAGGACCCACCCTGCTCTTCTTTTATTGTAATTTGTTTTAGCTGTTTTAATATTGCATTTTTAAATTGCTATAACCTGCCTGGGATCTTATGGTAAAGGACAGGTAAACAATCTAGTAAACAACAACAATTTCTGCTAAGTAAAGTATGAAATATCACAAAAAGAGAGTTGGTTCTCTATATTTTTCTCTTATTTAACACTATGGAAATTGGTCATTAAAAAAGAGTTCCAGCATAATCCTTCCTTAACTCCCAGGTGTGTAAAACATAGCAGCAATAGCAGGCAGGTTATCATTTGGCCTGATCTTGTGCAGCTACAGAAATCAACCCCAAGGTGTTCTCAACTGCCATTCACAAAATACCTGGCAGAAATTCCTAGCTAACAGATGTTGCATAGAGCTGAGCAATGCAAGAGCCACAACCCTCTGTGATGTGTCTGAACTAGGCAATGGCATCTGCAAAAACAAGCTGCAAGCTGCGAACAGTATCAACAAGCTATACTCCTTTGCTGTATTGCATCCTTTGACTCTTAAATAGGACTGCAGCATGTGTTTTTGAGCACCAATGCATCATGCAGTGTCGCATTAATGACAAGCAAACACGTGAGCTGAGCCACCTCCTTGATGAAAGAGTGTATGTAATCAAAACAAAGAGGTCTGAGTTCTTTACGTTATAAAAGATCAGCCCTTCAAAATGTAAAGTCCCAGGCTGTCACATTTCATGGAGTTCAGGAGAACAAGAAAACAAGCTGAACTTGAAAAAATGGAGGGGAAAGTTCTGATCCATGCCTTTGCTGACAGCCCCCTAGCCCAACCTGCTACTATGACAGACACTAACACAGATTAATTGCTCTTCCCCTCAAAATTCTACCACCTCCATCTGCTTTCACATTTTGGCTATTAGATTTGACATGGGCACACTTGCTAATATATGAGACCTTAGGCCTCTTAACTTAAGTATTTAGGACTAAACTAAGTCAATGACACACAGTCAGAGAATGTGAGAGACCACTTCTGAAATTAAGTTTTCCCAATGAATTTTCTAAAACAAAATCATTTCCCCTCTATAGGATAAATGTCACCTAGACAAAAGAACAAAAAAATAATCTTCCAATGGAAACAGCTCCACATTTCCAAATCCCAATCATTGACAGAGGGCCAAACAAGATATGATAGCCACAGGCCTGAAGGTCAGAACCATGTCTCAGCCAAATCCCTATAAAAGAAGAGGGGCCTGACAGCCCAGTCCAAACTCCAGATCCGCCAGAATGAGAGAGGTGGCCACCACACAACTGTCTTTCCTCTTGTGGGGAATAAATGGAGGCAGGGAGAAGTGGTCTCTGGGCTGAGGGAGCAAGAGCAGTTGAAGACTATCACTAATGTATTATAAATCCCCTATACATGGCACATGAAATTCTCACTATCGGGTGAGATGGTGCCATCAAGGCTAGCCTGGCCTTCAAATACACAGCTCAGCAACAGCCTTCAAAACCTATATTTCATATATAGCAATTGCCATACGAATTCCTGGCTCATAAAAATTATCTTTGCACCACATGTTACTGTCTCACAACACTAATTCACACATTTTCAAAGAATAGCCTTGTTAATTGCTAGCATTCAAAAAATGGCACTCTGCAGACCATGAAGATTTATATTTATAAGAGTGACACTGCATTTCTCCCTGCAGCCTCTACTCCTTCTGTGTTTTGCATGCAAATAACAGCTGAATTAATGAGCAAATCAAATGCTAATTCAGCTGATTGTCTTTCCTCTCCTTCCCTCCCCTCCCCCCAGCACACTTGAGGTGGGCTGTCTGCCTTTTTATTTTTTAATTTGCTGCATGTATGCTTACATTCATTCATCCACTTAATTTATTTTTTAAAAAGCTCAATTAGGTTTCAAACAGTTGAAAAACTATTCTGGGGAAGGGGGCAGATGGTTTCAAGCCAAGCAAATCTGTGCATAGCCTGCTTTGCTGCCAACATTCAGAACTGGTTTCTCTGAGCCTGGTCTCAGAGTAAAGATGGTTCATTTAGACTAAACACAGTGAGTGGATGCCAATTATGTGCATTCCCGTTTTCTGTAAGGCAACTACTGTAAGGAAAAAAATATTTGGAGGTAAACTACTATGGCAATCAATGAGATTACCTCTGAGTAAATATAATTAGGGTTGAACTGCATAATGGGTTTATTTCATAAGTAACAGCCTACTTCATTAGATGAACGAAGATGACTGGGAAAGTAGTGAATATATATATCCATATGTTCTGCAATACACTGCATGATCAACTGCTATAACCCAGCAGGGAGAGAACTGAACCTTGAGCAATTTGGTGGGATGTTCAAGATATCGTTCCTAACCACCTCTCTTCTTCCAGCCTTTTGTCATTCATTGTTTGCAAGATTTCCAAGTACAAATTGTAGCATTTGTGAATCATGATCTTAATCTCTAAGCAACAGAAACCTGTTTTGCCTTGTGGCATATCATTACAGTGTTCCAAACAAACTGCAACAAATCATGAAGAACTTTCATGACTACACAATCCTTGACACAAACAGGCTTATCCAAAGATAAATGGATACCACCAGGGGAACAAAGAAAGGCTCAAATAAAATATTATCCAGGAGCCACTGGCTGCAATCCCACCATACATTTAAAGCACTATGAAACTACTTTAAACAGTCATTGGCTTTCTCGCCCCCCTGTAAAACATAGCTTGTTAAACGTGCTGAGAGTTGTTGGAATACCCCTGTTTCCCTCACAGAGCTACAATTTGCCGAATCAATTCCTCTTCACAGGGAACTGTAGATCTCTGAGAGAAATAGGGGTCACCCAGCACCCTTAACAAATGACATCTCCCAGAATTGTTTGGAAGAATTTGTTTTAAGTGGAATCACAGCACAAATGTATAGTGTGAATGTGACCCTTTAGACTCCCCAAAGCTGCATCGATAGAAAATATCAATGCAGTTTTAAAACGTTAATCAAGGATAGACTTAACCTCATACATGTGAAAATTTTCATCAGAACTTTGGACAGGTACACGGAAATTTCAAAGCACTACTAAGGAAGGCTCTGACTAGCATTCCACAGTATTAGAATGTAGCAATAGTTTCAAAAGCATGTGGTATTCCACTTACACATCCATAGGTGAACCCACTTCAGATCTTCATGTGGTCTGAAGTGAGACCTTACAGGACACAGGAGTCGGGGCTGGCGCAAATATCCCTGTACATGTAGCATAATATGTGAATAGGGCTAACGCATACAAGGCCAAGCAGTTCTCAGCTGGCCCAAGATGAAAGTTATTTAAGCCAGGCATTAGAGAACAATGGACACATTATACAGTGTTGGCATGAATTTTGTTCCCTTGTTTCTATTTGGGCCGTCTAGTCAACACTGTTAAATCCCATTATTTGAACATTAGGACAAAAGCCAAAGTTGCCAAGTTAGTTCCAAGAATGCTGAAAACTCATACATGAGGCCAAGAACTGGACGGCCTTCTTCAAGGTCTCTGAATCTGGCACCAAGGCCTAAAGACTATTTCTGTAGCTTTAAGGTTTTCAATCAGCAAGCACGGCTAATGGATATTACTGTAGTTCAGTAATATATTGCAGGTTGGCTCAGTTGGTTAGAGCATGGTGCTGATAACGCCAAGGTCACGGGTTGAGCCTTGAATGGGTACATTTCCCTGCATTGCAGGAAGGTGGACTAGATGATCCATGGGGTCCCTTCCATCTCTAGGATTCTATCATTCAATCAAGGGTTCCCTCCACCTATGTAAGCTTCTGCAGTTAAAACAGCTTGGAGATTTCTGGTTTCGTTTTCTTTCTTTCTTTCTTTCTTTCTTTCTTTCTTTCTTCCTTTCTTCCAATAAGTCTTATTATTTTTTTCCAAATATCTTAAACACAATACAGCTTAACAATATTATTCTCCTTTCAATCTATATCTTACCCGAGTTAACTTCCCTCCCCCCTCTTCTGGCTTCTCTACATTGCTCTTACTTAAGCGTGATTACTCTATATACATTCTACAAATGTCTATAATTCCGTAATAAATTTTTGTATTATACTTTAGACATGCATACCTTATTATATCACAGCATTACATCTTGGGGTCTAACCAAATGTTTACAATAAACGTTATGAGTTTTATTTCAGTCCTGTGAGTGTCTTTATTTACTGGTTTTGTTTTCTCATCTTACATTTTTTTCAACATATTTGCTCAGTTGTTTATTTTGGGGGGAAACAAATGCAGCACAGCTGCATTTGATATTAATTGGACCTACAAAATGCGATAGTGTTAGCCACACCACAGGAAAAACAACCAAGAGTCCTGTGGCATCTTAAAGGCCAATCATTGTTCTATTTGTGTCATAAGCTTTTGTGGAGCACTTTTTCAATGCATTCCCATAGGCATCTGGCTGACCACTGTGAGAACAGGATGTTGGACTAGATGGGCCACTGGCCTGATCCAGCAGGCCCTTGTGATGCATTCTTGTGGTCTTAGGATGAAGACCAACATAAAATGCTCACCTTCTGCTGGGTGGCATTCTTTCACTTCCAATGTTCATTCATTCATTGGGCCTGGCATTCAATATTCTACAATGATCCTATGAATTTAAAAGATTAAGAGTGGGATTCATCGAAAGACTTCCATTTGCACCACAGGGCTTCCCCGCCTCTCCCTGCACACACCCCAATGAACCCCAAAATTGCTCTGGGGTGTGTGGGTGAAATTCTGGAACAGCACACAGTAGGAAGAGGCGGGGGCGTCATTCACTCTGGCAACCTGGAATGCTAGCACAGACAGAACATTCATCACAGCGCAATGTTGAAATCCACCCTAGAGCGCTGCGATTAGGAGAAATAAAATCTGATCCTGCCATTTCTGCTCAGGGAACCAAAGCCCAAGATCCTAGCTATGTGCACAATCAGCAGTGTTGTCTGCCTTCCATGTTTTGATTTTCCGCAGGAAAGCCTCCTTTGACTGAGGTGATTGCATGGGGGAAATAGCTATTCCACATACAGAAACTGTTTGTACATGCAGAAGAGGAATGCCGTGTCCCAGCCTTAAATCGTGAATGGCCTCTATTTAGTTGCAATTTTTGTGGCTTTTAGTCTTTAGTGGCCTCTGAGCCATATATCATAATAATGCCTAGAAACAGCTAATGGAAGTAAATGGATGCAGAATTAAATCTTAAATTGCTCCATAATACCTAAACCATACAACTTGAAATGAGACAGAAGGATTATTGCCATAATAATATTTGTCAGAAGCATCATTTTTTCTTATTTGGGACATAATAAAATATGGCACACACTCCTTAAATAGGCTATCAGCCATCTTTTTTTGCATCAATCCAGGTTATCCTGCACATTTTCTGACGATAGAGATGTGCAGTTCATATGTCATGAATGCAAAAAGAACAAATAGATTATACTTTTCAGCTCATTTCAACCCTTAGCTATAAAATATGCAAAATTCAGCCTTCTTATGCAGAACAGATACAGTAATCTCAGAGAAGGCCCAGATCTTCTGCTGCAAAATTCTTATAATCTTAAACTCCTTTGCTTTTCAGTTTGGAGCAAAATGTCACAGCACCATTCAGGATGAAGACCATAAAAAGCATAAAATGAAGCCCTGGTTCACTGAACTCACTAGAAACTCAGATCTTATTTCTAGAGCTTATTATTTAATCTGCAGCTACACATCTCTGAACCACGCTACCCTTCTGGAACCTTTCCTTCTGACAAGAATATCCTTTCTTTGACAAGCAAAATGAAAAGTACCTCGTTCAAATCACTTGTCCTTGGTGGGTATCTTTAATGCATGCTTCTCTATATTGGTGGAGAACCGCCACTGGTTGACATTCTGATTTCACTAGAAGCTGTATTAACATGAAGAAAACAACAAATGGAGGGGATTAAACTTCATGCATGCTGGTCCTGCTATATCCCAAGGAAGAATCCCTCTGGCACCTATGGTAAATGCACACACAGCATCTTTCAAACGGGCTTCACAGCTGCCATTTTGATAATCTGACCATGCTACACTGCTTTCACAGAGATGTCACAGTTTATTGGTTTTTTGCTTATCACAGCAGGTAACTGCCTAACAATGGGAGGCACAACACAAAGTGATACGCATCTCACTTTTGATATTGGTGTAACTCTATGAATGCACTTACACTCTCACTTTCACATGCTCGCTCCCATATAGCTTTAATTTGAAGTGATGTTTTAGAACAGTGGCGTTTTCAGAATCCTTACCAATATGAATCATAACAAAACAGTTTCTTCCTCATATTCTGCAATGTGGAATCTCAGCCTCTTTGAAGCTAATGAGGAGTGTGGCAGTTCAATCCACTTTCTTCCTCTTGGATCCAGAGAAACTGTGGCCAAATAAAGGGCGACTTCTCATACTGGTTTTATCCAATGCAATTAATGCAAGGACTTCCGCCTGCATAGTGAGACTTCCTCTCCTCTTCCCGCCTGCTCCCACACCTTCCCAAAATCTGCTTTCGAGGGTAGGAGGGGAATCCATTCATCTGGAGCTCCAGTTGGGGGTGGCATTTGCCACAGGGCACAGCTGGTCCTGGGAGGCCATCATCTTCCTGTGTGGCAGGAGAGATGGCCACTTGTTGCCACCCACCTCTGGCCGTAATGAACTTTCCATTTGGGGTTGGTCTTGCCCAAAATGCCAATCAGGGACATGGGCATGGGGCTGCACCCTGCCCACCCAAATCTGCTTTGAAAGAGAGGAAGAGACCCAAAAGAGACTTTGGGGGTGTTGGGGACATGGGAAGAGGAGAAGGAGAGGACGTACCACTGCACAGGCATATGTCCTGGCACTAACAGGATGACTTCATTGAATACAAACCATTATATTTGAAATTCAAGAGTTCATTCCTAAGAAACCCACCTGTGTCTAAAATATAGTGAAGCTATAGGGTAACACCCACTGCTGTTTCTCCATTAACGGTAAGTTCTTTGATCCAATGGAGGAGGGGAAAGGCCATTTTTGCACATTCCCCATTTTTTCTGCAGTACACCACTTCTTTCCCTCCACTGGATCAAAAAGGCTTCCGTGAACAGAAGACCATTCCTGTATATAAAGCTTAGTAGCAAAACTATAGCACGCTTTCCTTTAAAAATACATGCACAACCTGAGAACACTCTTCTAGATTTTTAATCCTCCAAGTCAAATGAGTCCTCACAATACACATGGAAGAAATTCCCAAGGCACCCACCTCATAAAGCTAAAAGAAAGCAAGTCATAGTTGCAACATTTTCTCTATTTTTAATGCTACAGAATAGCTTGTTCTGCAAATAATGCAGTTTAAATGGTTGGAAATATTGCAACCCAATTACATCCAGTCACAGAATTATTCAGTTCTTCAAAATATGTGCTGCTCTTCCATTGCTGCTGCTATGTCACCCGCATCATCCTCATCTCCTCTAGTCATCACTCACAACTTTCCAGCCATAACGCGATTGCATATTTCTTGCTGCAGCTGTTCGCTGGCTATTAGAGCACACTCTGCACTAAACATTACTAAGAGCATTCTATTAGGCACTGATATATCATCATAATATAAAGGCAACAAGCAGTTATGACTGCCACATGGCAATGTATTTATTGAAATTGTATCCCACCACTATGGGCAAACAGACACGCACCACAGTCACAGCAAAATAAAAATGAATATACAAAAACAACCTAAACAATGTATATTTAAAAAATCCAATTAAAAAGCAAACTAATTCTAATCAGTATAGAATAGCATCCATTTTAATAAGTCAAATGGCAGGATCCAAGTGCCAAAAACAGCATGGTCAGGAAAATCAACATGCACAGATTTATCTTCATCCCAAACTTCATTTTGCCACTTTAAATACAAAATATTGTATAGATTCATTAATGATAAAATATTAGCTATTGGACATGTTTTTTTAAAATCCAAAATGCTAAATGGAAGGCTTTTCCAGCTCATTTCGCACTGTAACTTACAAATACAGGGCATTTCCATTCACTTTAATAGGGCTGTTCTCTTGCCTTGTGATATACCGTAGATAAAAAGTCATTAAAAGCAAATCCCATTCAACATTCAGCAACACCCTAATCTGCAATAAATTAGTACAAGATAAAATAACTAAATTAAAATCTATGGGTGATCTCCACTGCTAGTCATGCTCTCAGCATGACTAACATTGGCTATAGCCCAAAGGAACTATCCCACTAAGTATAAACTTTTAACTTCCCATTCATTTCACTTGGAGCTCTTAACCCTAATGTACCTTTGCAACTTTCAAGCATAAGTACAACGAGAAAGGGGGACAAAAGAAAAATCATACTTACCTACTTTTCTTCAACCAGAACGCTTTACCAGATTCTAAACAGAAACTCAACAGGTTTCTTTTCCAGTAAGTTTTATGTAGCAGTTTCTAGCCAAGAATCTGCAGATAAAGCCCCCGGGCCGTGTTCTAATTTCAGAAGAAAAGAGTTACAAATAATAGTTAATGCAAGCATCAAAATAAACAGCGCTTTAATTACCTTTAAAAAATAAAAAAGCAACGAACGTCTGATCAGAAAGCACAGTAAGCATAGCAAGGAAAATGTAAGACTTTGTATTTGCTCCTGATATCACAAAGACCGAACTACAAACATTTTAATTACCGTTCCCTGTAGAAATAATAATG